GTGAGAAAAGTTTCAAGCAGAATTCTCTCCTGGTGACTCACCAAAGGACTCACACAGGAGAGAAACCATATAAGTGTCGTGATTGTGGGAAAGGTTTCTCTCGGAATTTCAACCTGGTGGTACACCAGAGAATTCACACAGGAGAAAAACCGTATGAGTGTCTGTTTTGTGGGAAACGTTTCATTCGGAATTCGTACCTAGTGCAACACCAGAAGACTAACACAGGAGAAATCCCATATGAGTGTCTGGAATGTAGAAAAACTTTCATTCGAAAGTGCGACTTGATGATACACCAGAAGACTCACAGAGGAGAGAAAGTATATGAATGTCCAGATTGTGGGAAACGTTTCACTCGGAATTCCAAGCTGGTGATACACCAGAGAACTCACACGGGAGAGAAACCATATGACTGTCTGTATTGTGGGAAAAGTTTCAGTCAGAATTCTAACCTGATGATACACCAGAGAACTCACACAGGAGAAAAACCATATCAGTGTTCATATTGTGGGGAAAATTTCAGTCAGAATTCCTACCTGGTGAAACACCAGAGGACTCACACAGGAGAAAATAGATATGAGTGTCTGGAATGTGGGAAAAGTTTTATTCAAAATCTGGACTTCATTATACACCAGAGGACTCACACAGGAGAAAAACCATATGACTGTCTGGATTGTGGGAAAAGTTTCATTCGGAATTCGTACCTGGTGAAACACCAGAGGACTCACACAAGAGACAAACCATATAAGTGTCTGTTTTGTGGGAAAAGTTTCATTCGAAATTCATACCTTGTGATACACCAGAGGACTCACACAGGAGAGAAACCATATGAGTGTCTTGAGTGTGGGAAACGTTTCGTAAGGAATTCCAGTTTGGTGATACATTGGAGGACTCACACAGGAGAGAAGCCGTATGAGTGTCCGGATTGTGGGAAAGATTTCAGTAGTAGGTCTAGCCTTATCAATCATGTAAGGTTACACACAGGGGAGAAACCATTCAAATGCCCAGATTGCGGAAAGTGTTTCACACGGAATTCCTCCCTTGTCAAACACAAGAAATTCCACATGAGGCGAAATTTGATCTCTGTAGAGGTATCTTGAACTTCATTTCTCGTCACTCATTGAAAGCTGAGCTGAGAAACTAAGCATTTAATTTTTTGCCTTATTCTTTTTAATCAAACATGTCTTAGTATCAAAAATGAGGGAGGAGATCTGAGCTTCCTTTCTCTTGCCCAGTGCAGTTGTTTCCTTTCACGGAGTTGAGGGGAATTGCTGAGCCAAAGAAAAGGAGCTTGGCTCTCTATTTTTGCTATGTTTGCTCTATGTTTGCTGACTTGAAGTACTTGTATATATAATAAAGCGGGATATAAATAGAAATATTTTTATGCATTTTTGTAGTAATCAGTGCTCAGTCATTGCAGGGTGCAAATATGGCTGCTCAACGTCGCAGCTTTTATTCTTATATAGAGTTTTACAGGCAGGAAAAGTTTAACATGGCATTAGCATAGCAATAGCATTTCATTGGTTAAGCTCCATACCAATGCTTAAGGATAGAAAGCCAGAGGCCCAAAACGGGGCAATTGGCTGTAGCATCCTGTTGTTGTAGGCTAGCTGATATTAGGCAGGCAAGGTCATTGCATTAGCCTGGGTAGTTTCCCACATTGCCATGGTAATGCAGAGAAAAAGAGATAAGGAGAGAGAGAAGGCACACAGGCGTCAGAAGGGCAGCGTTCTGCTCACGGCCTCCACCCGCCCCCCCCTTTACATCTCTTTTTTGTTTTGTTAGACGAAATATCGTCATAAGAGGGGTTAATAAAAGGATTATAATCAGGAGAGGAGCATCCTTGCAGTTGTTTATACAGGGCCAAAACTTTTTTTTTTTTAAATAAAATTTTTATTAATTTTTATAATTAAAGAACAAATACCAATATGATGCATTTACATACACAAGCAGAAAAAAGATAATCTAAGTCAATACATTTTTGGAAACGCTCGGCAGTCCCCGCCTTGCCTCCACCCTCATCCACTTTCCTTTCCCTCCTCCCTCTAAACCCACAACCTCTCCTCCTTCCTCCTTTCCACCTCCTACATCCCTTCTCCCTTCTTAACCACCTCATCGAGTGCAGTTTGGGGTACCAGCAGAGCATCTCCTCTTTTCAATCTAATAATTATTTACCTATAACATATAAATACATCAATTTTTATAATTTCTGTCCCCTAATCCCCTTCCCTCCCTGGACTTCCCGGAACAAATACAGGATTAAAACACATCCCAATCCATATCTAAATTACAATTTAACTAAACATAATACAATCAGTATTTACATACTTTAACTCTAATAAGACAATAAGTAAAAACAATATATCTACTCAAAAACTATATATTTATTCATTCCATACTTTCTCTGAGTATAATCTATCTACCTACAACATTTAAACTATACAAAACAATTTTTAAAGATCTAAATATCTATCAAGCATCTTATATAAATTCTTTCTTAAATTTTACATTTAAGTTTTCCTTAACTTTCTTCACTCTCAAGTCAATACTTTAAAAAAAAATCTTCTTATCCTTCATTAGATCAACAGCAGCATTCCAATCTCCAAACATATGCAAAAACCTATAAAATTATTTTTATTGTTGTTGCTGATATAGTACATATAGACCCTTCAAAGCTGAAAAAAAAATAAGATAAAATCCCAATCTTAAGTTTATCAAATATTTTGAATCTTTCAAAGTACTATAAATTCCTTACAAGATAATCCTTTTTATATTATTTCAAATATTAAAATAATTTCTTCCTTTTCCATGGCAAAATCAAACCATTCACGTTCAGCATCATCAACTTAACCATCCTTTGGCTTGTGAAGCTTATTAAGCATTCCCTGCAAGTCTGTCATTACAGATCTCTTTGGCCTCGCCCCTCCCACTGGCTCCGAAGTGGTGAATATGTTATAGATACAGTTTGTTTTTGTTGTTGCTCTCTCTCTTTACGCCTATAGGCAGCACGGGTCATTCTTTGCTCCTTTACGTTCACTCCCAACTTTTGTTGATTCTGAGGATCTCCTGCAGATAGTAACATGGCCCCAGGCAGTTCCACCACAAGTTGCTCCATCAGATCTTCCTGTGGTTTAGATGTCGATGATGGTGATAAATCAGCTTTCAGGACCGACAAATAAAAATCTTTAGCTTTTTGAACAGAATTTAATCTATATCTGGTCCCCGCATAATTTACCACAATGCCCAAAGGAATCTCCCATCTAAAAGGCATCTGCCGCTTCTTTAACTCCTGAGCCAAAAAAGTAAAATCCTTTCTTCTTCTTAAGATCTTAGAAAGTATTTCTTTTAAGAGTATAATATCTTGTGCAGCAATTTGAAATTTCTGCTGGTAAAAAAGCTGTATAATTTCATTACGACGTACTCTTGTGGTAAAGTAAACAACCACATCTCTAGGTATATTTCTCTGACGTGCAACCCAGGAGTTTACTCTAAAAAAAATTTCTATTTCTCCACAGATCACTTCTGGGTTGCAATCCAAAGCCAGGGCCAAAGCTGTAACAACTTCCTCCTTAAGTTTCTCTTGTAAATCCTCCTTAAGGCCTCTTATCCTTAGAGCAAATTCCATTTCTCTAAATTGTGACATTATCATATCACTTTGAAGAATTTCCACGCCTTCTTCTACTTTCTCAAGTCTGTCCTCTGTTCCTTCCATTTTCTCCACTAATTCATCCACCCGTCCTTCTATACGATCAATATGAACTGCTAGTCCTTGAAAAATGTGTGATATATTTTCACAAAGTTCCTGATTTTTCTTATCAAGAAGTTCTTCTGTTTGTTTCACAGTCTGCAATGAGGACTTAGCTAAAGCCTCTTGTAGATCTTTAAGTGTAATGGAAGGAGGAGGTGATGGTGGGGGAGATCTAGGTTTTTGTTGTTGAATTTGCACAACAGGAGAAGAAATAGCTGTTTTAGGCAATGCAGAAACACCAGTACGTTTTGAAGCCATTCTGCCAAATTATTTTTAAAACTCACAACAGCAAATATCAAGTTAAAAGAGCTTGACTTAAAAAAGAAAAAAAAAATTCTTTAAGATCCTTTAAAATGTATCATTCCACAACCGGAAACAAAGTGAAAGTTTTCCTTTTGTTACAAAGAAGCAGCGCTTCTGCGGCCATTTTCTTATCACTTTCACTTATAGCAAATAACAAAAATCCCAGTAGAATCTTTGAGTTAAAGTCACAATTTAACTAAAGCAGAAATCCCCTGTCTGGTTCCGTCTGTTCAAAAGTTACTCACAAGTAGATACAAAGTAGCAGCAGTGGCGGCGACGTCTAGCTTCGCTCCGAGAAGCGAAGGCACTCCGAGCTGTGGAGGGAGGTCCGGACTCCGGGGGAGTTCATCACCTTCATCCCCCCAGGATCGTTCCTGAGGGGACTAGGGAACTCAACCCCTATCCAGACCGAACTCACTTTCTCCCCTTCGTCCGGGGAGAAAGTTCCGAGCCACAAAACAGCTGATCCGCGCTGTTTTGACAGCTTTGACGCAGTCCCGGGCAGGAGGCTAAGAAAAAAGCCTCTTTCGGCGAAGCCTCGCCACCGGAAGTTCTCATACAGGGCCAAAACCTGTCCCTGAGGCAATGTGAGAGAGGATTTGGAGTTAAAAGCTCTGATACATATATTGCAAAATGAAGGAATACATTGCATAAAACAGCATCCACCAACCAAAATAGCACAAGTTATGACCGAATAACGTAGAATATTTCCCAGTAATCCTGTGGGCAACCAAGCCCAAAGGCTTTCCCACCAAGATCCTAAAGTATCCATTTTCAAATCAGAGGCCAAATTGTGTAAAATATCAATTTGGTGCTGAATGGTTCGTGAATTATCAGAAATATTGAAACAACACATTCCCTCAAAACTTTCACAACCCAAATGCTGGCGCAGAAGCAAATAATCAATTGCAGCACGATTTTGCAAAATAGCCTTTCTCAAATCTTATAGTTCATGGTTGATTGCTGAAATAGCTGAAGAAGTAGCATTAATTGTTTTTGCTAAATTGCATGCAATAGCATTAATGTTGAGGTGAGCACGAACAGCAAGTCCTGGTACACCTACTAGAGATATAGCCAATGCTACATATTCTGCTTTATTAAGTAAGGCTGTCTCAGAGTCACAAGTGCTGTCTAGCGTGACCCCACGCCGAGAACGGCTCGAGTGAACTTGTTGTTTGGAAAGCAAAACGAATCAGCCGGCTGAGGCAACATTGCGCTTCACTAATATTAGCAGGAATATAATTAAAAGTTTCTTGACCACATGTAAAAAACCATCCTTGCAGTAGCCAAACAAGTCCAAAATGAAAGGAAGTCTCTTCAAAAGCTGTGCAGTTTAAAACAGGTGAGCTAATGCGGTGACAGGTTTTTTACTTGAAGAAGTACAATTAACTATTTTTGCACATGTTATATTTGCAGGGATAGCTACCACCGGGGTGTGCAAAGCAATAGCGTTGGGGTGGATAGTAAGCAGTAATCCCCCAGCTAGATATAGCTTTATAGTTAAAGTTCCCATTGAATAAAATTCTGCTCAAGCCAGTAAAGTTTTGAATTACTGCAGAAGGGGTGCAAATGGACTAAACATGTAGAAAGCAAATTTTCCATGTCATATGCTTCAGATAAGCAAAAGACATCATTGTGTGTGATGTTAGCCAGCTGCACCCATAGATTGTGCTTCATTCGTTGCTCGAATGATTGTTTGGGTGGGATAACAGTTGCTGTTGTCAAAGGGCAGATGTTAACGATTAGACACAAACAAATGATGGCTAAGGAATTTGCAGTTAAAACCGCAAAAATGGCAGCGCAAAGGTTCTCTGGGGTTTGCTCTACTTGTTGCTGCTGCAACATTGCCTGTGCTTTGGCGGTCAAGTTCTTCACATCTCCCCATGTCACTGGCCGACTGGCATGTCGGGATCGGATTGGTCGCTGTGCCATCTGTAGAGTCATCTTGGCCATTTTTGGGGCTGGATCCAGGGACTGGTGCCACGACATCCTTGGCCGGGCGAACACAACGTG